CCTGCCCCTGTGCTCCTTCCGGTCCTGGTCCCACCTGGTCCCACCTGGTCCATGTATCCTCTGTCTCCATAATGACATGCAGCCCTGATACCTGCCACAAACATCCCTCTCCGGTCTCACTCTGGGGCCGCGGTGCATAAATCACAGCTCAGCGCGGAGCCAAACGACAGCCATTAAAATAATGAATGGGAAGATTAATTTTTCACATTAAAGATTAAAAGCGGCGAGCGACATCATTGGATATTTGAGTGGCCGTTAGCGTTCGGAGATGATATTTTTTTTTTTTTTAGGGTTTCAAAACGCCCCTCGGTTTGTCATTGTCGAGACCGGAACAGCCCAAGTTCAGGTTTTTTTTTTCACGTCCGAAAGTTTAAAAACAGCTTAATGCGGCGAATTCTGAAGTGGTTCATTTGAGCTCAGTTTGGGACGATTCAATTAAACTGTTCTGTCCTAAAAACTCTCACACACCCAACTCTTATATAGAGTAGATCCACCCATTTAGCTTTTGCAATTAATGAGAGAAGCTGAATTTGTCCCATATTTGGGTTGGTTTTGGTGGACAGACAGGAAAGGATAAGAGCAGGTAACTTATACTGTTTGTGTGTGTGTGTGTCTGTGTCTGTGTCTGTGTCTGTGTGTGTGTGTGTGTGTGTGTGTGTGTGTGCGCTGCTTCAATCCTGCACCGGACCTGTCCACGTTCATCGGCCGCTGGTCCAGACAGACACACACCTACAGACACACTCCCACAGACACACTCCCACAGACACTCACCCACAGACACACACTCACAGACACACTCCCACAAACACACACTCACAGACACACTCCCACAGACACACACCCACAGACACCCTCACAGACAAACACTCACAGACACATTCCCACAGACACACACTCACAGACACACACCCACAGACACACACTCACACAGACACACTCACACAGGCACACACTCACAGACACACTCCCACAGACACACTCCCACAGACACACACTCACAGACACACACTCACAGACACACACCCACAGACACACACTCACAGACAGACCCACAGACACACAGACACACTCTCACAGACACACAGACACACTCCCACAGATACACACCCACAGACACACACTCACAGACACACTCCCACAGACACACCCACAGACACACACCCACAGACACACTCCCACAGACAGACACACACTCACAGACACACTCCCACAGACACACCCACAGACACACACCCACAGACACACACCCACAGACACACTCCCACAGACAGACACACACTCACAGACACACTCCCACAGACACACCCACAGACACACACTCACAGACACACACCCACAGACACACACCCACGCCTCAGCCTGTATAATCGTACAAACCTCTGCACACTCCATTTCTTTAACGTATCATTTCCTCCACACGTGTAACTTCTCCACCTCTTGCTCCTTTCGCCTCAGTTGTGTGTTGGCTCTGCTCAGACGGTGCATTGATGTGCGCTCATGGCTGGAGGCGGTACAGGACCCTCTCTGCCTCTCCGCGGGACACCTCCAACATCGCCGACATTACCCCAACAGTCCACCTCACTCCTGAGTCTCACTCTCTTTTACTCGGCTCGACATCTGTTCTTGCAGAAGCTGATTAGCCAAGTGTCTGCTCAGAATCCGGCTAAAGGCTCCGTACTCTGGCTGTGCGGGGCATAAATCAAACATGGATTTCAAATGGCAAGAGCTTTCTCTCCTTGGTGGAAGTGGAGTGAGCTCAGAGAGAGTGAGTGGTGGATGTTCGTGTTGTGTGGCTTTGATAGTGACGCTGTAGGTTGGTGTTTAAGGCGGTTGTTATGGCCTGGGTCAGTCCTGAAGAAAATGTCAAATTCAGGTCCAAGGACGAAAACACTTTATCTGTCTAATGTGCAATCCATATGAAGTCGGCATTTTGGGATCTGAACGAGAGAGGTCAGAGAGAGAGGCCAAGAGAGAGAGAGAGAGAGGGAGAGGGAGAGAGAGAGAGGCCAAGAGAGAGAGGGAGAGAGAGAGAGAGGCCAAGAGAGAGAGAGGCCAAGAGAGAGAGAGAGGGAGAGAAAGCGAGGCCAAGAGAGAGAGAGAGGCCAAGAGAGAGAGGGAGAGAGAGAGAGAGGCCAAGAGGGAGAGAGGGAGAGAGAGAGGCCAAGAGAGAGAGAGAGAGGGAGAGAGAGAGAGAGGCCAAGAGAGAGAGAGAGAGGGAGAGAGGCCAAGAGAGAGAGAGAGAGGGGGAGAGGGAGAGAGGGAGAGAGAGAGAGGTCAGAGAGAGAGAGGCCAAGAGAGAGAGAGGGGGGGGGGAGGGAGGGAGAGAGAGAGAGGTCAGAGAGAGAGGCCAAGAGAGAGAGAGAGAGGGGGAGAGGGAGAGAGGGAGAGAGAGAGAGGTCAGAGAGAGAGAGGCCAAGAGAAAGAGAGAGAGGTCAGAGAGAGAGGCCAAGAGAGAGAGAGAGGGAGAGAGAGAGAGAGGCCAAGAGAGAGAGAGAGGTCAGAGAGAGAGGCCAAGAGAGAGAGAGAGAGGGGGAGAGGGAGAGAGGGAGAGAGAGAGAGGTCAGAGAGAGAGAGGCCAAGAGAAAGAGAGAGAGGTCAGAGAGAGAGGCCAAGAGAGAGAGAGAGGGAGAGAGAGAGGGAGAGAGAGAGACCAAGAGAGAGAGAGAGGGAGAGAGAGAGAGAGGCCAAGAGAGAGAGAGAGACGGAGAGAGAGAGAGGCCAAGAGAGAGAGAGGGAGAGAGAGAGAGAGGCCAAGAGAGAGAGAGAGGGAGAGAGAGAGAGGCCAAGAGAGAGAGAGAGGGAGAGAGAGAGAGAGGCCAAGAGAGAGAGAGGGAGAGAGAGAGAGGCCAAGAGAGAGAGAGGCCAAGAGAGAGAGAGAGGGGGAGAGAGAGAGAGGCCAAGAGAGAGAGAGAGGGAGAGAAAGAGAGGCCAAGAGAGAGAGGGAGAGAGAGGCCAAGAGAGAGAGAGAGGCCAAGAGAGAGAGAGGCCAAGAGAGAGAGAGAGGTCAGAGAGAGAGAGGGAGAGAGAGGTCAGAGAGAGAGGCAAAGAGAGAGAGAGAGGTCAGAGAGAGAGGCCAAGAGAGAGAGAGAGGCCAGAGAGAGAGAGGCCAAGAGAGAGAGAGAGGTCAAAGAGAGAGAGAGAGGTCAGAGAGAGAGGCCACGAGAGAGAGAGAGGTCAGAGAGAGAGAGAGAGGCCAGAGAGAGAGGCCAAGAGAGAGAGAGAGGTCAGAGAGAGAGGCCAAGAGAGAGGTCAGAAAGAGAGGCCAAAAGAGAGGTCAGAGAGAGAGAGGCCAAGAGAGAGAGAAAGGTCAGAGAGAGAGGCCAAGAGAGAGAGAGAGGTCAGAGAGAGAGGCCAAGAGAGAGAGAGAGGTCAGAGAGAGAGGCCAAGAGAGAGAGAGGTCAGAGAGAGAGAGGCCAAGAGAGAGAGAGGCTAGAGAGAGAGGCCAAGAGAGAGAGAGATCAGAGAGAGAGGCCAAGAGAGAGAGGTCAGAGAGAGAGGCCAAGAGAGAGAGAGAGGTCAGAGAGAGAGGCCAAGAGAGAGGAAGAGGTCAGAGAGAGAGGCAAAGAGAGAGGAAGAGGTCAGAGAGAGAGAGAGGTCAGAGAGAGACATTATAGTGTACTAGTCTCCAAAGAGAGAGAGACCAGGAATAGGCGGTGACATGGAGGAGGTGGGTTGCTGCACGAATAGCATCTTGATTCTGCAGGAGTGAGAGGCTCTGTTTAAATGCAGTGATGAACGTAGTAGTGTAACACGTTATTATGAAAATACGTTTTATTACAGTTACTACCTAAATACTTCGTTACCGGCGGCACTGGCCTCGGGAAAGCAGCGGAAAACTGCACTACTGCTGCGTGCGGGACGTTGAGCACATGAGCAAGTGCCAGAGGAGAGGAATTAGTTTTACCGGTGAAGATATACACACTATTATAACTATATCAGTCAAAAAGATAAAAAAGGTTGTCCTGAAGTGAAAGCAAGTGATTGTCCACCGCAGCAACTCATCCTCGAAGCTTTTAAAACACCTGCAGCGTCAACCCTCAACTATTAAGCTAGTCGCTAAAGAGCATCTCAGCGAAGCCTCCGCCAGCACAGCACCGACAGCACCAACAGCACAGCACCAACAGAACCAACAGCACCAACAGCACCAACAGCACCAACAGCACCAACAGCACCAACAGCACCTACAGCACCAACAGCACAGCACCAACAGAACCAACAGCACCAACAGCACCAACAGCACCAACAGCACCAACAGCACCAACAGCACCTACAGCACCAACAGCACCAACAGCACCAACAGCACCAACAGCACCAACAGCACCAACAGCACCAACAGCACCAACAGCACCAACAGCACCAACAGCACAGAACCAACAGCACCAACAGCAACACCAACACCAACAGCACCAACAGCACAGCACCAACACCAACAGAACCAACACCAACAGCACCAACAGCCCCAACAGCACCAACAACAGCACCAACAGCACCAACAGCACAGCACCAACACCAACAGCACCAACACCAACACCAACAGCACCAACACCAACAGCACCGAACCAGCACCAACAGCACCAACAGCACCAACACCAACAGCACAGAACCAACAGCACCAACACACCAACATCACCAACACCAACAGCACAGAACCAACAGCACCAACACCAACAGCACCAACAGCACCAACACCAACAGCACCAACACCAACAGCACCAACAGCACCAACAGCACCAACAGCACCAACACCAACAGCACCAACAGCACCAACAGCACCAACAGCACCAACAGCACCAACAGCACCAACAGCACCAACAGCACCAACAGCACCAACAGCACCAACAGCACCAACAGAACCAACAGAACCAACAGAACCAACAGAACCAACAGAACCAACAGAACCAACAGAACCAACAGAACCAACAGAACCAACAGCACCAACAGCACCAACAGCACCTACACCATATAAACACCCTCCACTTGGTGTCTCCACATTCAGTGTT